AAAAAAAAAAAAAAAAAAAAAAAAAAAAAAACCTCTGCCTCTGAGCTGGGATATAGCTTAGAAAAGTGCTTGCCCAGCATGGACAACACCCTGGGTACCATCCCCAGCATCATGTAAAAGTAGGCATAGTGGCATGTGACAATAATCACCAATACTTGGGAGCTGGTGGCAGAAGGGTCAAAACTTCAAAGTCATCCTTAGCTACACAGTGAGGTGGAGATGAGTCTGAGCTATGAGACCCTTTCTAAACAAACAAGCAAGCCTACCTTGGCCTCTGACTCTAGAAGGCCTCTCAATATCTAATACTGACTACTTCCCAGACTCCCCGCTTCAATGTTTGCATTCTCAGTCCATCGCTTCCTTCCCTCTTATTCCATTGTCTCTCCCTGTGTTTTCACACATTCTAAGCACTTCAAATATGGTGGACCAGTGCTCACTTCCAAACCTCTGCTTATATTCTAACTACTAGACACAGTTACCTCAAAAAGACCCCCATCTCCAACTTTTCCTATCAACCTACTCCCTAAGATAACAATAATTCTCAAACTTTAGGGTAGACAATTCAACTTCAGAGCACTCATGATACAGATACCTGAACTGATACCCCATGCATCCCCCGAGAATAGCACCACACAGTCTCTCATGCCTAGGATAGATGATCTTCATATACAGTAATAACTACAGGATATTATTACAGGACAGTTCTCCAGCTTTGGAAAATGATGATTATTGGTTTGGTCTATGTGGCAGACATACATGCAATGGTGTTTACATAGCAAGTTAGGAAAACAGAAGATAATGCTCACAACTAGCCACAAACTGGCCCCCCTAATAGAAATAAACAAAAGCACATAGATCAGCAACATAGTTTTTCACCATGCTGAGTTCTCAAGACAGAAGTGAGCTTCAAAGTGTCCTCTGGGGTAGAAGTCTTAGCAAGTCTCGTGTGATGAAGGAAAGAGAGACTATAAACTTCCAAGTGTCAGGGTGGATAATCATTGAGGAGCTCCCTGGGCAGCTCTGAACTGAAGGCCTTCCCAGCTCTTACAGTGGGAGAGCCTGCATTTTACTCAAAACTAGATTAGAAGACACTCTGCTACTCCTCTCTTTAGGACCCGTGCTACTCCTCTCTTCTTCCTTCCTCCTCCCTTCCTCTTCCTAGTCTTCTTCCTCCCCTTCCTCTTCTTAGTCTTCCTTCTCCCCTCCCGTTCTTCCTCCTCTCCTTCCTCCTCCTCTTCCTCCCCTTCCTCATCCTTGTCTTCTTCCTCCTCTTCCTCCCCTTCCTCCTCCTCATCTCCCTCCTCCTCTTCTTCCCCTTTCTTCCTCCTCCCCTTCTTCATGGTCTTCCTCCCCTTCTTCTTCCTCCTTCTTATCTCCCTCCTGGTCTTCCTCTTCCTCCTCATGTCCCTTCTTCTCTTCTGCCCCTTCCTCCTCCCCTTCCTCCTCCTGGTCTTTCTCCTCCTCTGCCTACTTTGCCAATGTAACTTTCTCTTTTCACCTTGCCCCTAGCTAACACATTTTCATGATAGATAAAGAAATAAAGTAAAAGGAAAGAAGTAATATTTATATTACCAGATTAAATTTTCTTCCTTGGAAGTCAATGATCATCTGAATTACAAACTAGAACCTTATGAAATATTTATACTTAGTACAAATTTCATACTGTAATAATATAGAACTAGCTCTTTCTTCTTTTTTTTTTAAATAATTTTTCAAGACAGGTTTCTTTCTGTAGTCTTGGCTGTTCTGGAACTCACTCTGTAGACCAGGATGTCCTTGAACTCACAGAGATCTGCCTGCCTCTGCCTCTTGAGTGCTGGGATTAAAGGTGTGCAACACCAACGCCTGACGAACTAGGCCATTCTTAAAGACCACTTAAACATATGATTATGCAGAGAAGCAAATAATGTCAGAATAGGACAGAAGCTGGTTTCTGTAGTACAAAAATGAAAGCAATGATTTAGCAATTGTTTCACCTCACTAACAGAATTAGCATTGTTTTATTATAGCATTAATGCTTTCATAATCAATTAGAAAAGCACATCTTAGCCAGGCAGTGTGGCGCACTCCTTTAATCCCAGCATTCAGGAGGCAAAGACAGAGTGAGTTCCAGGACAGCCAGGGCTACACAGAAAAACCCTGTTTCCAAAAAGAAAAAAAAAATTTTTTTTTCATTGCAAATAATTTCTATTTTTTTATTTTAAATATTTTACTAGCTCTACCTTAAAAGAATCCACTTGGAGCTGGGCGTTGGTGGTGCACGCCTTTAATCTCAGCACTTGGGAGGCAGAGGCAGGCGGATCTCTGTGAGTTCCAGGCCAGCCTGGTCTCCAGAGTGAGTGCCAGAGAGAAACCCTGTCTCAAAAAACCAAAAAAAAAAAAAAAATCCACTTGGTAGTAAATCAAATACCATATGATTTGTCTATTAATTCCACCAAATTAATATAACAGAAGGAACAAAAACCAGAATGATAAAAACAACAAGCAGAGGTAAGAAATCTGTCAGCCTGCCATCTACACCAGACACAGTGGCACGCGTAATCCCAGCCTCAGGAGGATCAGAGTGAGAATGGGGCTGCCTGGACTACCTAGTGAAAGTTCATCTCATAAATGGGGGATAGAAGAGGAAGCAGGGAGGAGGCACATTCACACATGGGTTATAATTATGACAGGGCAGTCAGCCATGTTCTATTAAGTTCGTATTTTTAAAGCAAGTCATTTCTTTAAAGTCATTTCTTGCTCCAGTGAGGAAACGCAGCCCAATATCAGAAAACCTTCTTGGCAAGTGTGAGGCCTGAGTTCAATCCTCAACACCGGGAAACAGAAGCACCCCACAAAGTCCTTACCTTGTCCATTTCCACTGTTGTCGACGTCAGCCAAACACAAACAGCCCTGGTCAAACTCTTCCTTCTCTCCCAGCACAGTAGACCACCAATCACGGGCTTTAAATAAGGACATGTTCTTTCACCCTAAAAATGGAACGTTCATTTACAATAAAAATTCACTTTATGGAAAGGAAGAAGTCAAATTATCCCATTTGCAGATCATATGATTTGATATGTAAAAGTCCCTACATAATTACTGGAGAAATCTTAGATGTAAAAATACAGTAAAACTACAAGACACAAAATCAATATTAAAAAAAAAAAATAGCTTTCACCTATACCAGAAAGAAACTAGAAAAACTAGCCTATTCATAATAACTCCAAAAATGTCAAGTACCTATGGGCCATAGAGATGGCTAAGTTAAGAATACATACTCATCTGAGTTTGATTCCCAACACTCATAACTGCCTGTAACTCCAGGTCCTGGTGGTCTGATACCCTCTTCTGGCCTCCAATGACACTGTACTCAGGTACTTAAAGCTATATTCAGACATATATACATAATTTTAAAATAATACTAATAAGATCAATTAAATATTAAGTACCTATGAATACACCTAAGCAACAAATTGAAAAGTCAGGACTTTGTAAAAGGAAATCAAAGATGATAGGTGACGAAAAGATCTTCTTTGCTCTTAGATTAGCAGAATTAATATTACAAAAATGGATATACCACCAAAAGTAATCTAGAGATTTAATGCAATATTTAGCAAGATTCCAATGTCTTATTGCACAGATCTAGGAAAAAACAATTCAATTAGTCATATAAGACCACAAACAGAACACAACTGGAGGTCTGACAAAATCCAGCCTCAAACTATATGACAGAGTCACAGAGACAACCACAGCCTGGTCCTGGCCTTAAAAACAGGCAGGTAGACCACTGGGACAGAACACAGGACCCAGACACAAACCCTGTTGACAAAGGAGGCGAGACATTCAGTAGGAAAGAGCACCTGTTCAACAGACAATGCTGGCAAAACTCGATATCCTGTGGAGAATTAAATTAGATCCACACCTTTACCTTACGCAAAAATCATTTCAAAATGTATCAAACACCCTAATTTAAAACCTGAAATGCTGAAACTGCTACAGGAGAACAGGGAGAACGTACTGTGTAATACTGGGATATCCCAGCCCTCATCAGAAACTTCTTACAGTAGATGGGAACTAACACAGAGACCCACACTGGATAGTGTGCAGAGTGAGAGTCTAGGGGCACTCAGTTCTAAGTGGGATGTCTTTATCAAATCTCTCCCCTCAAGGCTCAGGGGTCTATGTGAAAGAGGAAGAGGAAGACTGAGAGAACAGGACGTGATGGCTGACCCAAGGAAACTTTTCCAGACACAAGACAATGTACATGGGAACTCACAGAGACTGTGTAGCACACACAAGACCTGCACAGGTTCAAGCCAGATGGAATCCCAGCACTGAGAGCAGGAAGCAGACCAGGCTCTCATCCCTAACCAAGACCATCTGCAACTGACACCCTTTTATAAAGGAGAAATCAATTTTCTCCAGTGAACTCTCATTCGGTTTATCAACCACACTACAGGACAGACCTCATGCCCAGGAGTAGATGACCAACACAAAACAAACTTGATGGTATTTTTGTAGATTTTTTTGTCTCACTTTGCTTTGCTTGGGCATTTTTTTTTTGTCTTACTGATCTTTTCTTGTTTATTTTTATTTCTATATTTGTGTTTTTGTGAGGGTGTTTGAGTGTATATTTCTTGATTCTTCATTGGTTTTTGGTTTTGGGTTTTGGGTTTTGGGTTTTGTTTGGTTGGTTGGTTGGTTGGTTTTTGTTTTTCAAGACAGGGTTTCTCTGTAGCTTTTGGAGGCTGTCCTGGATCTTGAAATCAGAGACCCCCCTGCCTCTGCCTCCTGAGTGCTGGGGTTAAAAGCAGGCGCTACCACCACTCAGCTGATTCTTTGTTTCTTTAAAGAAAGAGAAATAACATAAAGTTGGGTAGGCAGGGAGGTAGAGAGGATATGAGGGATGGGGAATGGAAAAAAGAAACATGACTAAAATACATTGTGTGAAATTTTTTCAATGAAAAAAAAACTAAACTATGCATATATAATAATAATACAAAATAGAATTTACAAAGCCACTGGGGAGAAAAGCCACTGGGGTAGGCAAGAACTTTCTGAATGGAACACCAACTGCACAGGCACCAGCCCCAACAAATGAGACTACATGAAATACAAGTTTCTGCACAGCAAAGGAAACTGGCACACAGCACACAGAACAGTACAAGGGCTGGAAGCATCCTAGGCTTTGGCAAGCAGGGAGAAGACACAACAAAACAATCAAAATAAGAACAATTCAGGGCACATCTGTGAACATATTACACACTTGAAAATTACAATATCAGTATCAGCAAAAGTGATAAAGTGTAGGACTAAAGAGTGACCAAAACTGGCCAACCACAAACTTCTAAACCTGTACTGATAAAAATACATTGTTGTTGTTATTATTATTATTATTATTATTATATAAAGAACATAGTTTATAGCAAGTGGGATTGGCAACCTATGCTTATTATTATTATTATTATTATTATTATATAAAGAACATAGTTTATAGCAAGTGGGATTGGCAACCTATGCCTATACCTTTTAAAACTCTAAGCAGGGCATAAATCCAGACTAAAATGTCTCTTTCTCAACAGTAAATCCAGCAGCTTCTTTTATGAAGTATTTGCGAAAAACCTGAAATATTAGCAAGACTGGAAGACCCACTAATGCTACACTGGCTCAAACTGGAGAGGGAAGAGGATAAAAAGCAACCACTTTCTCCCAACTGTGTGCAAGGCTCAAAAGACTGCGACTCTGTGAGTGCTCTGCTGTTGTCACTCATGTCTGACATACGTGTACAACAATTCATCTGTATGTGCACATGTGTGACATAATGCTAGCCAGGCCAGAGAACTGTTATTACATAACTAGCATCACCTGGACTCTTAGTTTCCACAATGAGAAAGAATGTATTTAGGCCATACACAAGCTGGCGGGGAGGGGTGCACTGTGGTGACTCTAATGTATATTATCAATCGAGGCTGCCCAAACCCAAAAACACACACATTCTCCCTCGTGTGCTAGTTCTGGTCTACAGTGTATAGACACACATGAATAAGCAGTTTTTACTAAATATTGTAACTATGGGTATCTTATAACATTTAGAAAGGGTAATTTTAGATGATAGTAAAGACAGAATGCAGGAAAAGGGTCACAGGAATCATTGGAGAAGATATCAACCTGTCTTTCTCGATTCAACTCTGCCATAGTTTTCTTTTTTTGTGGTAGATGAGTGAATTAAAAATAGTGAAAGTGTAATTCCCTAAGTGAATATACAAGGCTTGGAAATGGCCATTCTAGCTGTATATTCATGGATATATATATATGGTTTACGTTCAAGCAACTACATTTTGTTTTGTTTTCTTTTGTTTTTCGAGACAGGGTTTCTCTGTGTAACAGCTCTGGTTGTCCTGGAACTCACTTTGTAGACCAGGCTGGCCTTGAACTCATAGGTCTGCCTACCACTGCCTCCCAAGTGCTGGGATTAAAGGCATGCACCACCATCACCAGCTGTTGAGCGGCTACCTTAATCTCACTGTACAATGCTTTTATTTGTAAATTAGTTATAATCAAATGACTTTTAAAAATAAAGACCTTTAAAATAAAAAACCTCACTTTTTGGTTGTTGTTTTTAAAGACAGGTTTGGTTTATCCCAGGCTGGCCTTGAACTCCTGTTCCTGTGCCTCCATATCCCAAGTGCTAGGATTTTAGTCTTTTGCCACCACACTCTGCCAAATTAGTTACCTCTTACAGCACAGCAAATTAAACTTGCATAGCTTTGAGATTAACTTTAATTCTTTGTATTACGTACACAAGCATAAAAACACAGTTCCAAATGGCTACAAACATCAATCAGATATTCTTCAACATCACTATGAATTAACCTAAAAGACTATATATGCATTTTGGACTAATTCTATTTTCTGAGAACTTGAGGAAGGAATTATACAGAAATTTTAAAAAAGAAAGAAAGAAAACTTCTCTAAAGGGCAATATTCAAAATTGAAGAGTACTACTTAACACAGAAATCTATAACAAAATCCCTAACTTCCTTTCATAACGACTGCAATGTCCTCTGCACTGGAACTACAGGCGCTCAAGGAGCTTCTGCTTCCTCCAGAAGAAGCAAAGCAGAAAGGGGGATTTACACTGAGACAGAGAGAGGCGGGGAGAGAGAGACAGAGAGACAGCCAGCAGGAAAAGTGGTTTGCACGTCCATATAGTAGTGTGCCATTAGACAACCATAGCCGCTGTGCCTTCATTTCCCGAATGAGCATTCCCAGCCCTCCCTTAGTAAGTTCCTCATGTGAATGCATACTGCACCTTTGCAATGGAAACACAGCATCACCTACCTTGACATCTGCTTGACATGTATTCCTCTGCTTTTTTAGACGGAGTCTCACACTGTAGCCCAAAGCTGGCCTAGTAACCGTCCTGCACCAGCCACCAAAGAACTAGGATTGCAGCGCCATACCCAGGTTCTACATTTTGTTCTAATGCAGCTGAAACTTTCCTTCCTGGTACAGGCTTAGATAGTACTTAAGAAATATGAGGGCTGGACAGACGGCTCAGGGGTTAAGAGCACTGCTTGTTCTTCCAAAGGTCCTGAGTTCAATTCCCAGCAACCACATGGTGGCTCACAGCCATTTGTAATGAGATCTGGTGCCCTCCTCTGGTTCTGCAGACAGAACACTGTACACATAATAAATAAATAAATCTTTTTTTAAAAAAAAAAAAAGAAATACATTTTCTCCTTAACTAATTACATTACATAAGGTCTCCACAAACACTAAATTCTAGCTGGTTGACTATGAGCCACTGTTCATGGAACACAGGGTTAGGCTTCCGCAGCCTCTAGTCCCCACATTTCTATCAGTCAATATAGTGTCACTATGTATTTATCTTCTAAAACACCTTGTCTTATTCCAGTGGTTCTCAACCTGTGGGTCACAACCCCTTTGGCAAACATCTGTCTCCAAAAATACTTACATTATGATTCACAACAGTAGCAAAATTACAGTTATGAAGTAGCAATGAAAATGGCTTTATGCGCCAGGCGTTGATAGCACACGCCCTTAATCCCAACACTTGGGAGGCAGAGGCAGGCAGATCTCTGTGAGTTCGAAGCCAGCCTGGTCTACAAAGCCAGTTCTAGAACAGGCTCCAAAGCAATACAGAGAAACCCTGCCTCAAAAAAACAAAAAAGAAAAGAAAAGAAAAGAAAGAAAAGAAAATGGCTTTATGGTTGGGGGTCACCACAACATGAGGAACTGTGTTAAAGGGTCATGGCATTAGGAAGGTTGAGAACCACTGTTTTATACTGTTGATTCATAACCACTGAACTCATAGCCAAGAGCACTATAACTCTGTAAGTCTGAACAAAACATTTCATTTTTTTTATTGTTTTTCCAGACAAGGTTTCTCTGTGTAGCCCTGGCTGTCCTGGAACTCACTCTGTAGACCAGGCTGGTTGAACTCATAGAGATCCGCCTGCCTCTGCCTCCCGAGGGCAGGGACTAAAGGCGTGCACCACCACCACCCGGCCTACAAAATGTCTTTTATCCCATGTATGTTCTCACAACTTTCCTGCACTTAGGAACAGTGGTCAGCACTTCAGCATCCACTTCTTTTATCATTGCTGTTTTGTCTTGTTTTTTGAGACATGGTCTCATCATGTAGCCCAGGCTGGCTTTGAACATTCAGTCCTCCTACCTCAGCCTCCTGAATCCTGGGATTGTAAGCACGCACCACCACTACACTGATTACATGTGAAACAGGGAATGCAGAGCTGGTAAGATGGCCTGGCAGGGCTTGTCACCAAGCCTGATGATCTGAGTTTGACCCCAGAGACTCAGGATGGAAGTAAAGAACATACCCCACAGGTTGTCCTTGGACCTCCTCATGCACACTATAGCACACATGCACTTACATGCACACACACACACACACACACACACACACACACACACACACACACACAGTAAACAAATAAATAAGAAATCCATAAATGAATATTTAAATGTGACAGAAAACAGATCTTAAAAAGATACTTACTTGCAGCTTAAGAATTGAAGATGGCAAAGTGACTTTGACATCCTCTGGGATCCTACAGACTAACTTCCCCACTGCTCTCATGGCAACTATAGGTGACTACAAAAGCACTGAGAACATGATCATGAGATTACAACTCACTTTCAGCAGGTGGCAAATTCACAAATATGGAATCTGAAAATAACAGAGGCCAACTGTACTTTTTTAAACCCACAGAACAACCTGTTTCTTGAAGTAGGCCTTCTGCATGGCTAATCATAGAAACCAAGGCCATTTTCTCCTATACAAAAGAAACCAAGAAACTGAGAATACTGAAAATCTCACACACTGGAGGCAGACTGTGTAAGTCTGGATTCCCAACACATACTAACCATGCAACCCAGAGGCAATGTGATAATCATCTTGACTGGGTTTGGAACTACCTGGGAGACCCATTTTAGGCATGTCTCTGAGGGTGTTTCCAGAAAGTTTTAGCTGAAGAGGGAAGACACCTTCAGCCCAGGAAGGAAAGGTTTCATCTGACTTACAGGTCATACTCGATCATGACAGGAGCTCAGGGCAGGAACCTGGAGGCAGAAGGTAAAGCAGAGACCACAGTGGAATACTGCTTACTGTCATCCTTCCCCTAGCTTGCTCAGCTACTTTTCTTACACAACCCAGGCCTACCTGCCTAGGGATGGTATTACCTATAATGGGCTGGGCCTTCCTACATCAATTAACAACTAAGAAAATGCCCCACAGACATGCTCACAGACCAAACCAAGGGGGGCAATGTCTCAGCTGAGGTTCTTCTTCCTAGATGACTCTAGCTATGTCAAGTTAACAATAAACCAGCACAGGATGTAATATCATTCTACAAGCTGGAGTCACAAATTAAGTAAAAATCGGAAGAGGGGAGATGTCAGCTGAACACCAGCATTCATGACTCTGTTTCCTAAAAGCAAATACCATGTGATCAGCCACCTCACTTGCCCCTGCCAGGAACTTTGTCATCACACTGAGAAAAGTAACCACCAACCCTGCTATAATTCAGCCCCTTCAACTATAAAATAAAGATAAGAGTGATGCTGTAAGTATTAAACAATGCATCAGATGCAAACTATAGAATTAAAGAAACTATGCAATTCAGTTATCCAATAAGGAGATAACGTCCAAGCTATATAAAGAATTCCCACAACTCAACAGGAATAAGAACCAAAAAAAAAAAAAATTGAACAAATGAGTCAGTAGTAACCCAGTAATAGTGATAGGAGGAATAGTTGTAGTGGTGGTAGCAGAGGTGGAGACAGCAGAGTCTTCTGAACACAGTAAAATTTCAAATGGGACATCCAAAGGGTGGGTCAGAAACTGTGTGTGTGTGTGTGTGTGTATGTGTGTGTGTGTGTTATTGGGTACTGAAGAGCTACAACCCCAACAAGCATGTTTTATAACAACTTGATATGTTTCAATTCTTTTCAAAAAGTATCCAAGGGGACTAGAATGTATATTAGTGGTACACGGTTCTCTCTCTCTCTCTCTCTCTCTCTCTCTCTCTCTCTCTCTCACACACACACACACACACACACACACACACACACACACACACACACGTACATTCTTCGGAGTGAGACTTCCTATATACCTAACAAGGTATACAACTTTAAAGTACTGTTAGTGGATTTTTTTTTTCCTGCAAAGAGCATTTTCATCAAGAAGTATACCATAAGGTCAGTGGGATGGCTCAGCAGATAAGGGTGCTTGCTGCCAAGCCTGACAGGACTCACATGGTACAAGGAGAGAAGCAACTCTTGCAAGTTGTCCTGTGACCTCCACACCTGCACTGTGGTACCCTTGTTCACACACATACATGCACTCAAAAAAAATTAATAAATTAAAAATCTAGCAAAATTTTTTAAAAACCATATAATAAACACAAGTAGGAGGTATAATTTAACCACAACCACTATACATAATTTTTTTTTAAAAAATCCAGGGTGGGGGGCTGGAGAAATGGCTCAGTGGTTAAGAGCACTGGCTGCTCTCCCAAAGGTCCCAAGAGTTTAATTCCCAGAACCCACAGGGTGTCTCATAACAGGTTCACAACTATCTGTAATGGGATCTGATTCCCTCTTCTGGTGTGCATGAAGACAGGTCATTCATATACATAAAATAAATAAATTTTAAAAAGATGGGCAGTGGTGGCAAAACTTTTAATGCCAGGACTTGGGAGACAGAGACAGACAGATCTCTGTGAGTTTGAGGCTACCCTGGTCTACTAAGTGAGTTCCAGAACAGGCTCCAAAGCTACAGAGAGACCCTGTCTCAAAAAAAAAATTTTTTTTTAATCTTTAAACTCTTACAAACAACTTGTAAATGATTTTCAAAATGAGGTCTCTTGTTTCTAATTCTTATAATAGTCCAATCCATCACCAAATCTCAGCCATTATCTCAACCATTACCCTCTTCATATATTACACTATGTTCATCTTTCCCTCTGAATGCTAGCAGACATTAATGCATTATATGGTGGCACACACCTGTAATACCAACATTCGGAAGCCTGAAACAAGGGGTCATAAGTTCAAAGATGGCCTAGGCTATGCAGTAAGTTCCAGGTCACTTGGGCCACATCGTGAAATTTTTAAAAATAAAATAAAGGGAGGAAAGGAGGAAGGAAAGAAGGAAGGAGAAAACCCTATTTTCCCTCCAGTATCTTTCAAGCTGTGTGTATCAATCAAGATGTACATGTGTGTAAACATGTAAGACACGACTTGATATTTAAAGACAATGTGAGACACCAAACAAGTAATCTATAAATTTATCCAGAAATTGAAGCCAAGTATAGACCTTGCCTGGGAGGAGCTGCTGATAAAATCAGCTTAGTCCATCTAAACTGCTGTGGTCTGCAAAGGAAAGAGAAAGGGATAAACATTAATCCTATTGCAGGCAGCACTGGGGAGTATCAACATGCTCCCGGCTTCAGTCCAGACTGAGAACTGCTTTGTCGCTCTGCTCACAAGACCTGTTGAAATGTCACAAGAGAAACATGCTCTTACTCCTTGTGACTGCTGCATGGAAGCCTGAAAAGTCACCCCTTCCTCAAAGGTGTTGATAGGATCTACACACATCGTGTTAGCGGTTTGTTTAAACGCAAGCCTATTTTTCCTAGGAAATGGATCATCCAGCACCTCCCAAACCATTACACGGCAGCTGAGGATTAGTCTCGTTGGTCAACAAGCACAGCGAACTCATCCATGCATCCCAAGTTTAATTCCTGGAGTATTTCTTACCTGATGCCAACAAGTGGACTTTGCCTAGCCTATCTACGGACCCGCTATCCACAGACTTCCCTTTCAGAACTCCTGAGGAGGATCCGGTGATGGAGCAGAAGTAACCGCCGTGCAGGGGAAAGCAACCCTTAACTCCACTAGTACCTCTTGGTCTTGTGTTCAAAGTTTTTCACGTCCCCGGGTAGACAGAATCCCGCCAGGCAGCAACACCAGCTCCGGAGTTGGAGAGAGTCCCTCCAAGCTCTCCTGCACCCCTTCTCATCCCCCTGAGGCAAGCAGGGGAAACGACATGGATCCCTCGAAAGCCACAAGGCAAGAGAGAACAACTGCAAGTCCAGAAGCTCACACAGAGGATGAAACCACCGAGGACGCTGCACGAGGGGTGAGGCTGCAAGCCAACAGCCTGCGGAAGACACCTCCCCAATCCAACCTAAATCCCAGCCGCCTGAGCCCTGTTGTCATAGCATTTTACAACCGAGGCTACTGCGCAAGTCAGACGCGGGGCCGCGGGGCCTGCTGGATGTTGTAGTCCAGGAGGCCGACAGCGCGTGGCTGGGAAGAGAATGTTCCTGGGCCGTCCTAGACAACCAGAATGGCTGCGGGGCGGGATGGAGCCAGGCGCCTCTGAACCACCTTGGCAGGCCAGTCCCTCACGGTGGCTTCGGCGGAAGTCCCACCTCCGCTGGGCGGAGGGGTGTGTCTGCCACAGACCACGCCCTCCTGCATTTAGGCATTCTGGTGTCTAGGCCAGAGCAATCCTGGCTTTCCTGTTTGTAAACATTTTCTGTCTTGCCTTGGCCTAACTGCTGTGACTAGGATTTCAAGCACCATGTTGAATAAGAATAAAGAGTAGACCCCCCTTTGTTTCATTCCTTATTTTGGAAAAAATAATTAGTTTCTCCTCATTTAGTGCAATATTGGCTATAGGTTGGTTGTCAATTTAGCACATCTGGGAAGGGGTGACCTCAACTGAAAAAAAGATTGGCCTGTGGATATGATTAGCGACATTTTCTTGAATCTTTATTGATGTAGGAGAGCCGCCACCACTGTAGGCTAGACAGGTAGGCCTGGGCTTCATGGGGAAGGGAGCCCGGGAGTAGCTATCCCCACAGCATTTGCTTCAAGGCCCTGCGCTGCTTGGTGGGGGCCTACACTAACTCCCTAAACAGTGGACTGTAAGATGAAACAGGCAATACCACACACGCACAGTTTTGGTCATGGTGCTTATGATAGCAACAGAAAGCAAACTGGCACATGTCCGCTGTATTGAGGTATGTCCACTACTTTCTTTAGGGCTTTTATCATGAAAGAATATTAAACTTTTGTCAAAGGCCTTTTCTGTGTCTCTTGAGGTGACCATATTGTAAGGAAAAAGGGCCAGCTAAAGAAACACACCCTGAGCAGAGCCAAAGAAACACACTTTGGCCTTGCAATAAGAACTAAAGAAATGTACCCTAATCCTGAAACCAGTTCCATAGAAACACACGTTGTCCATGGAATCAAAACCAGTGAAAGAAATTCACCCTGAACCTAAAATTAGAGCCAAAAGGCTAAAATGGACCAGTGAAAGAAACACACTTTGGCCCTGAAACCAGAGCCAAATCTGACCCTAAACCAATGCAGAAAACCAACCAATCCCTGAGCAGGAGATCTAGCCATTCTGAGCTCAGGTATTGAAATCTGACCAATCTCCACCCTGGAAATTTCCCAGGAAAAACTCTGCCCCCTAAGAATCCCTATATTAACCCTGTGTCTGTGCAGCTTGTGTCTGTTTGGTCTGCCAGGCTGTCCTCTGCCACCCTGGCAGAGGGCAGCCTCTCTCCTGTATTCTTCCCTCCCAATAAATCTCTTGAATGAGATTTGGGTGAGACCTTCTTTCACTGGAGCAGAGATGCCCCTTGGAGGAGCTGAGCATAGCGAGGCTGTAGCACTTTTCACCGGGGAAACCCTCTCCTGCAGGAGCAGAGTTGATATAATGGGGAAGTCTTTCTCTGAAGCAGGGCTGTAAGCTGCTATGCTTACTGTGACCTGTGGTATTCCTTGGCTCCCAAGTGCCAGAATACCTTTCCTTCCAAGCTGTAACACTCAGTACTCTGTGGCTCCCGAGTTCCAGAATCCCTGTCCATCCCATCTGATCCATCGAAATGCTTACACATATGCTTGAATCTTTCTGTACTGTACTGGATTTTATTGACTACATATGTTGAACCATCCTGGGATGCCTCTAATCAAGCCAAGTTTGTCCATGGTATATGAATTTTTCAACATGTTGTTGAATTATCGGTGTATTATGGGGGAATTTTTGCATCCATATTTACATCAAATAGTTGGTTTGTTTTTTTATTTTGTTTTGTTTTGAGTTTTTTGATTGTTTGTTTGTTTGTTTGCCGTGTTCTTACTAAGTTTTGGTGTCAGGGTGATGCCAGTTTTATAAGATGAGTTTGGAAGTGTCCTTTCCAATTCTATTTATGGGGAAATTTTAAATTTTTCTTAGATGTATTTATTATATTTATTTTATGCATATGAGGATTTGGCCTACATGTATATAAGTACACCACATACATGCCTAGTGCTTATAGAGGGCAGCCTGTGCCTATGGAGGGCAGAAGAAGGCACTAGATCCCTTTGAACTAGAGTTGCAGACAGTTATGAGCCCCCACATGCATGCTGAGAATGGAACCCAGGTCCCATGGAAGAGCATTACGTACTTTTAACCACTGAGACATCTCTCCAGCTACCTATTTTATGGAAATTTTTTTAGAAGAATTGGTGCTAATTTTTAAATATCTGATAGAATTACAGAGTGGGTCCATCTAGTTTGGAGACTCATTTAATTCAGAGACTGTTACTGCTCTAGTGTCATTTCTGGTGACAGGTCTGTTTAAGCTGTATATACCCTTGTCTTGGTTTGGGTTCCTACGACTGTGAAGAGACACCATGACCGCAGCAACTCTTATAAAGGAAAACATTTAATTGGGGATAACTTACAGTTTCAGAGGTTTAGTACATTGTAGTCATGGTGGTGTACAGACAGACATGATGACGGAGGAGGTTTTTTTTTTTTTTTTCCTTTTTTTTAGACAGGATTTCTCTGTGTATCCCTGGCTGTCTTGTAACTCACTCTGTAGACCAGGCTGGTCTCAAACTCAGAGATCCTCCTTCCTCTGCCTCCCAAGTTCTGGGATTAAAGGCATGCACCTCCACCGCCCCACAGGAGCTGAGACTTCTACATCTTCATCCTCAGGCAACTAGAAGTGAATTGTGTACCACACTGGGCATAACATGAGCATATGAACCCTCAAAGCCAACCCTGACAGTGACACACTTCCTCCAACAAGGCCACACCTCCTAATAGTGTCACTCCCTATGGGCCAAGCATTCAAACATGAGTCTATGGGGCCATTCCTATTCAAACCAACACAACCCTTCTGCTATAACTTTGGTTGGTCAAAAGTTTCTAAAAATGTATCCTTTTCTTCTAGAGTTCCTAATTTGGAATACAGGTTTTTGTTTTTTTTTTTTTTTTAATTTCACTAATGACCCTCTGAATTTCACTAGTGTCCATATGTCATCCTATTTTTACCTCTAATGTCAATTAATTTAAATCTCTCTCTTTCTTTTGGTTGTTTTGGCCAAGAGTGTCTATCTGTTTTATCTTTGCTAAGAATCAGCCCTTTCATTGTCATTTCTTTTGTTCTCCTTTTTTCTAATGTATTTTTACTAATTATTTGAGAATTTTAAAATTATTATTCTCTTCATTTTGTGTATGTGGATTTTGAATAAGAATGTCCCTATGGGCTCATATTTTTGAATGCTTAGTCACCAGAGAGTAGAACTATTTGAAAGGATTAAAAGGTGTGGTCTTGTTGAAGTAAATGCATCACTGGGCTTTGAGGTTTCGAAGTCCAAGCCAGGGTTTGTCACCCCTCTCCCTGTGGATCAGAATGCAGCCCTCAGCTACTGCTCAAGCATCATGCATGCCGCCATGTTCCTCACTATGATGTTAATGGATTAAACCTCTGAAACTGTTAAGTAAGCCCCTAATTATATGTTTTCTTTTATAAGAGTTTGATGGGGGAGGTCCTTCTGTGTATATGATTGTCTTATTTGTTTTGATAAATAAAGTACTGTCGGCCAATAGGAAAACAAGATAGGTGGGACTAGGAGTCAAGGAGGATTCTGGGATAGGTAGGAGAAAGGCAGAGTCACCATATGAGCCTGGGAAGACAGGACACTTATGCTGACATCCGATAAGATAAGTCTTATAAAATATATAGATTTAGGATAATTAAGACTGAGCTAGCAAGTGAGAAATCCTAGTCAATGGCCAAGAAGCATTTGTACCTAATATAAGTCTCTGTGTGTTACTTGGGACCATAACGTGGCAGCGGGCAGAACTTGGGTGGCCTGGTGGAAAGAGCCCACGTGGCAGCAGGGCTTGGGCGACGTGACGGAAAGACTTATTTGGCAGACTTATTGTTACAAGAGTTGCATGTCATGGCCATGGTGAAAGTAACTCTTCACCTCAATAGAACAATACCTAAGTCATAAGTTGGTGCTAGGCGTGGGGTGTTGTTGTGACAGGCCTGACCATTCTTTTGTTTGGGGGATTATGGAAGACCGGGACTTTGGATTAGAAAAGTGGTTGGGGTGCTTTAAGCAGGCTTTAATGGACCATCCTACTAGGAGCATGAATAATGGTACTGAGGGTGATGTGAGCTGTGACAGCCCAGCTCAAGAAGTTTCAGAGGGGAGGAATATTAGTAAGTGGGCTAGAGACCATTTTCATGATATTGTGACCAAGAATGTGGCTGCTTTTTGCCCTTGTTGTAAAAACCTACCTGAGACTAAATTGAAGAGTTTGGATTAATGGCATTGGCATAGGAGATTCCAAAAACAGCCAAATATTGACTCCTGTCGTGTGGTTATTAGTAATCACTCTATAATGAAAAAGAGCAAGGTGGACAAAGAGAAATGCAAAATGGACAGCTTGAGCAAAAGAGGATGTACTAGAAAATGTAATGGAGCTATATCCAGTGCTCAAAGAAATAAAAAGTGTAAAGAAAAGCCTGATGCTAAATGGAATAAAGGGAGTGGTGACCTCAGAGCAAGAACCCATTCAACTAAGCTTCCTGCTTCTGAAAACAAACTAAGCTTACGCAGCAAAAGAAACCAACAACAACAGAAAGCTGATACAGATGTAATTGAGCAAGGGGGCCAAGTTCTATTCCCAACAAACAACAGAGCTTGGCAGCTCTGGCTGGTTTTATGGTCAAGGATTCATAAAAGGAATTGTGGACTCTTCCTCCATGCCTAGGGAAAGCTGCTGAGGCCAGGCATGTATCAGTAGGGTCCTTGCCTCAGGCCCATAGAGGCCATTTTGTGAAGCTGTGAAAGTGAAGCCCTATAATGTTGGAGATGCCAAAGATAGGATACTTGAAGAGGAGAGCTGCTAACAGGGAGTGGAACCAGCCCAAGAGAAAGAGGTGTGTTGTAGCCAAGTAAGCTGAAGGGAGTTGGCGATCCTGACATCAGACATGGAGAGGCAGAATTCAGAATTTTCCCTTCTGGTTTTTGGTCTTTCTTTGGTTCATTATTTCTTCCCTGTGTTCCCTTTCCTCCATTTTGGAATGGAGTATGGAATGGTTATGTGT